CATTTAGCGGAAATGGACCATAGTTTTGTACGCAGTGCCATGCCCCTATACCATGCAAAAAACCATTTTCGAAAAGCGTCCCACGCCCTGAAAGACCTTCCTTGTTAGCACCAGCCTGATTAATAGGAGCTTACGAGTGGCGGTCCCCTCGCACTCCTATATCGTCTCGCCGTTATTCCGTTCAATAAATATTAAACCACTGACTCACTTCATTAAAAAGGGATATACACTCCCAGTGGCTGGAATGTAAAGTTTCGCTACAGACTTGGTGTTAAAATCATTGTCACCATGTTGTTCTACTCTGTGCTTCCCTGAACGAGTTAACACATTACTGCACCATTAACCAGCACGACGCTATCTGATTCATACTGATAAAACTTTTCCCGTTCCCCCTATGTAGCTTGAATTACATGCCTCACATTGAATCTTACCCTACAGAAGCGCAATTTATATTTTTCCCGTTTGGATATGTAACGCAACCCTCAGTCAAACACTGCGTGTCATAGAGTCTGTTCCTGAAAAATTGGCGTTTGGGGTTATTGGCGGAGTGTTAACTAGAATACGATCATCACTCAATTGTGCCCGAATAATACACCCTTGTATTGCAGCAGATACAGAGAAAAATGAGAAAGATTGCCAGAGATGAACGGTAAACATAGAGGAAGTTTGTTTTGGCCCAAAGTGTTTCTCCTGTCAACGTGAAATCTTCCATTGTTACAATGTTAAACCGTATAACCATTCAACCGAGCTATACCTGAAGCTAATCGTCTTGATTCTTCGCGTTCGGCCATACCGCTGCAAAGCGCGCAGCTGCCCTGTATGTATGATAACCTGATAACAGCGCGTTTAACAGCGAACGGATGCGCAGATGTAGCGTGGATCAAAATGTTTTTCGAGCTTCTTTTTCGGTAGCTTTTAACGTGTACGATCCCGCTAGACACTTTAACTTGAGTGTTCAGATAGGGGGACCATCCATCTTGCGGTATCTCTCGTGTGAGCTTGATGTACAATTACTGCTCAATCATTATACGGAAACACCCATCCATTTCGGACTGTGTTGAAGTGACAATTCAGCAGTCATCTATATACCTACAGTACATCAACAGTAAGCGTGCCAATAATGGTTCTTCAATTCTGCTCATGAAGCAGATTGCCAGTACTTAGTTAATCGTTGACCCATGGCCAAACCTCTAATCTGAGATCAGTAAGAACCTGACCACTTGAAGATGTTACAACCAAGACATTCCTTGATGAGAGTCATGATACACGTTTTACCGAGCCCAAATGTCTCAATACTCCTACCGTGCTTATCCAACCTTCCAGATGGCGCTTGTAGGGCTTGTTCATTTTGGACGTTGGTGAAAGCGAGGTGACGTCAAATGACTCTATCACGCAACTTGAAGAGAAGCGCAAGTTCCCCAGTTGTTCAAGGATTGGTTCGTGTTGGACAGGTGTGAGGAGACCTTGTTCATCAAGCTTTCATCTTTCACCTAGCCGTAAAATACAGGAAAACTTCGAGAGTCGAGCCTGAGCCTACAAAGGGACTTCTCATCAAGACCTGCAGTTTTGCCTTCTGTCACCCAGATATGGTTGAGACGCTTGCATTGCGATGACTCTATTCACGCTTGCATTGCGATGACTCTATTCAAAGTTCCATGGGAAGTTAAAACTTCTCGCTGGTAAGCTATTTGTAATAGTGACTCCGTTAAGACACGATATGTGAAACCTTTACATGGCATAGTGGATAAACATTCAGATATTAGAGGAAGAAGGATGGGGACACTGCCACAATGGTTATGATTGTTATCGATTGATCGACGCCGATCAAATCTTATTGGTAGTGCGCTAATCTTACCCCAATCTTTCAACGGAAAAAGAGGATTGCCAGGCCTTAGCCATACACTCAATCTTGTCTTGAAAGGAAGGATACCTCTTTACAAGTCAACTAATCCAGCTGAAAATCAGAAAGCGCAACGCAGAAGCAAACCTGAAAACATTCTAGGAACAAGTACTTCCTTCCAGCTCACCTTTGACTCGAGCTCTTTATCGATAATATTGCTATTTTTGTTGTTAGCACCACTGCTATTTGTAGTGTGCTCTGGAGAACAGGAATATGGAGGCGTTGGCGGGTGGTAGAGACTGTTGCCCGGGCCTATAGACAAATATTGGTTGCTGAAAAACTGAAAAAGATTCGTACAACACAATAAAAGAAAGTGACTTCGATAACATTCAGTGTACAAGTTATTTGAAAAACAAGGAAAGAAGATTGAGAGATTTGAAAAATGGATTTCGGAGGGAAGCATGGCTTCGAAGCGTTTTCACATCAACAAGCACGCATTGCACGATACAATGGGCAAGGTTAATCACTAGGGCAGCGATTAGTCTTGCGTAATGAATCTCCTATCACCTCCTCCTCAAGACTCTATAGAAACTTCTGTCAGAAACGAGCGTTCTGTACGGAATCCATGCGTCTAATCTGATGATGCTTTCCGGTCGAGCCTTCACGAATCTACAAACTGGCAAGAGGCTATGATTTTCACAAAATAATTGGAGATGGATAAAGGATGTTTGGAATTTTCAGAGTAGCAAAGAGCAACAATGTGGGAATGCCAAATTCCGCCTAGACAAAGAGTTTCTCTAACCTAGAAGGCGCAAGACCGTGCGTGACTGAGCAGATTTTATAGGAAGGAACAGTCCTCCATTAGGCCAGAAGAAACTAACCAGGAACTTTCCAACATGGGGCGAATACCGTAGTTTGCCTCCGTCTTCTTGCTCGAACAATTGCAACGATTATTCCAGTGCAAGAGGAAAATAGCACTACGAGTATTATGACGCACAGTATAATTAAAACAACTGGCGTGGTTATGATGGGGAAAACCCTTATCTGGAAAGTACCAATAAGTACCCAATTCTCATGCTGCCCTTTTCAGAAAAGAATGTTCCGACCAAATTGACCTGCTTCTTTCTCAATGAGAAGTCACGAATAGGTAGCTTCTCTCCACTAGCTGGCCCACTACGCGCCAATTCCAAAGTCAAGTAAGTGGCTGCTGCACGAAGATCGGTGAAACAACGTGGCTGTTCTTGACCCTTGCGACGCCGAATTCGGCAGGATGAGGTGTCAACGTCGAAAAAAACCATTGTTCCATTCAAATTCCTGTCCAATTCACTAGAAAAACTATATTTCAAAATAAAGAATGCAAAAAACATAGTTCCAATAATCAGGACAAAACACAGGTCTGCTCTAGCGTGGTACTGAAGGATGATGATGAATGATAACAACTTCTCGGGAATAAGGAATAATGGCTGCTAGAAAGAAGTAACTGCTGAGAACCAGGAACGTTTTCCTTCCAACCTTTATTGCGGTCGAGCTTTTTTTCAGAAAGGAGCTTTAAAGTAGTAACATATAAACCACCACACAGAAATCCGTTCTCCACCTTGAAATAAACTGCTCATCGACGATAGTGATACGGTTTCCTTGTCCAGTATCTGTACCCCAACCAAACACCATGATGCCATCTATATCTTCAGCTACGCTTACATGGGTATAAAGATGCTGAAGTAACCGTAGTTCATGAATATTGAACAGTAAAAAAGCATATCTGAATGTCTGAATCGTTTCCAGCAAAAAAGTCCAGTCACAAAAGTGTACGGCACTTACCTGAGCCAACTCTGACTGCAACTGTTTTAAGTTCTTGATCACAATGTCGGGGGGTACACCTACTGCAACTCCGATCATGTTAACATCGCTGCTGTATGTCGCGCTAGTTCCCTAGAAACGCATTTCCAATTTAATGTTTTGATGAACGCTTCTGCTCCATTCCTTGTTGATGTATGATGCAAATGACTCATTTTACGACTCAAACAAAGAGGATGCATTATCATAAGTTGCATTATCATTGACCTATCAACCTATCATGTCCTAATATGTTAGTACTTTCGCCTTTACTACGAAAATAGACCACCTCTTGGTTACCATGGAAAAATAAAGTTTTTACTGACACTGTCTGTAGAAATCCGGGCACGGACAACGAATATGATAAACATTTTCACGTTGACCCCGTTGGCCTTCGATGGAAACATTAAAAAAGATTGCCATTCTCGTTGAAAAGGCACCGATTCCCTCCCGTACGTAAGAACACAACAGTTGTGTTGGAAAATGATGTTGCATCAAGTTGGTTTCGCTTTGCATAGCTTGAAAATTTTTATTTCACATTTCTTCCTCTTGAAAGGAACGTACTGGATGGAAACTGTTCTACCGCGGAAAGGTACTAATGACTCATAAGTGAAAATTTCTTTTACAGCTATGTGCACCTTTTAATAGTTCTTATTCAACCGTAAAGTCTGCCTTCAAATTGATTATTATCGGAAAAGTGAAGAGAATTCAGTAGTCGCTCGAGTAGGGCCTTAGGCATTATTTTTCTAGCAATCGAATGCCCACCAGTGGCAGGTCTAGTGCTCCAATAACCTCTCAACCTAAGCATCTGCACTACTTTCAATTGTTTGCATGATTCGATAACTTGTTTTTTATTTTGGCGGACCTCATCCATCGTAGAGGGTCGAACAGTTTCTTCTTACCTGTCAATTGGTTTCTTCGACAACCTGTGAATGTGCTTTTCGTTCAAACATAGTTCACAGAAATCAAACCGCTTGTAGCGAGTACGTGAACAATTATGCGAATCAACTTGTTGAGAGCATAGTAATCATCATAAAATTCTGCACCACTCAACAAATCGTCTTCACTTTCACTGCCAGATAATAATGAAATCTCGTTACTCTCCGGATCAGATCTATTATCCGTGAGTATGGTAAGAACACAACCGAAAAATCATTCCATATAGGCTCATCTATCTCTTTATCTTCGTCGCATCATCCAATAATCTTTCAAAACCACCCTCCTAATCGTCTACCGCAGGCTGATCCTTTTCGCCTCCCAGAGCTATTTATGTACTATATATCATGCATAGAACTAGAGTTTACTGAAGTAGGAAACTGATAATTTCTAACTTACCTATTTCAAATTGATGCATGGAAAAAATGCTTGAAAAAAGTAAAAGTGGCGTATATCAGAAAAAAGAACAGCGCGGCTAAACTGTGGGCCAAGGAAGCGGGAACCTTCGAAATGCATCTGTCCCGCGCGTTAGACACGCAAGAAGGCGCACTGTCGTCAAAGGGCTATGTTTTAAGTTATATGCTCTACGAATGGTGCAGCCTCTACAATGCCATTGAAGCTCCTTAACCTTAGGATGTGGGGTGGACGATGCCGGTCTTTGTGCCCTTATTGCGACCTATGTACCCCATTTTTTGACCCGACAGCACGTCATATGGTATACTTGGGTGGGGCACATGATGGTCTCATTTAGGAATCTCGGAAATCGTTTTAGTGAACTGTGCTTTCGAGTTTTAGAGCCAGAACGGCGATATTGTGCCGCTCAAAGCAAGCGCTTCCCACACCATTGATCAGTTGTGGAAACACTAACTAAAATTTTCGAAAACAGTATGAATCAATAATATCCGATTACATAATTTTCTTTATTCGGCAAGCTATGTTCTATTTGAACTAGACTACCTACAAAATCTGAGAAGTGTCAAGAAGCAAACGGAAGAAAACTCACATCACAGTCACCGCCATCATATCCACATTCTGGCCCTGCACAATCCTCGTCACACTTACTATCGCCATATTTGTATGCACATTCGGAGGGATGTCTACAAGAACAACCGGCAAGCGTTCATCAAAGAATAATGATATTGCAGAATGATTCTGATTGGATGGTGATGTTTTTCGGATGAAGATTCATGAAGATGTGAAATTGAACTAATTAATTGCACAAAATGGTTACAGCAGAAATAAGTTTTTTGTGCACAGAACTTTCCGTGTAAAGCGGCTACGTCGATAAGAGAACATGCGGCTTTAGCTGAATCAGGTCTTATCAGTTTAGTTTATACTATTATTCGGCGAGACAGCTGCTTATTGATTTGTAGACAATCAAATTCCCATCTTCACAGAAGCTTGTTGGCATAAGTTTTAGTTTCAGTGATATTTTTGACTTTCTTTTCTTAATTTAAATCCCTGAATTTTCGAAAGATGTTTACCAGTTGTGAAGGGTAGTTGACGACCTCGTGGCAGTCCTATACTGCTATCGGAGCTATAACTTTTTTGATACTACTGTATATGAAACCAAGATTGCATGGTAAAATTCCCATGGTATTCTCTCCAGCGAATATGATGACGCCAGTGGTTGCGATATTTTGTGTCCCACTATTGTCTTGGTAGCCTTGAAGTGGAACAGATACTGGGTACGACGGTTTATTGGAAGTCGGTTTATCCCATGCAGCTGGAGACGAAGCAGACTGAGCAAAAAAATGAATTACCACCATACCGAGCTCTCATATATGTAGGTTCAACAACATAAGGATAAGACCGGATAAGACCACTCTGGTGGTTATCATCATAACCACCAACACACACAACACCTCCCTTGTAGAAAGAATGGGTACAACATATTCAGCTTTCTACGTTCACATTTCGAGGGGAATACAATTCAACACTCAATAGGCAAACCAACGAGAAGTATCTCGGAATCTTTGTACAGGTCTTTTTAGTCTCTTCGAGCGTCGTAGCGGTACCTCGACTTCGTGTTCTCGTCGTCTTAGAGCAGCAGCATCTGTAGCATGTGTGGTCTCCTCTGTCGCTTCCACACGTCGTCCAATTCGAGCGTCTCAAGCAGTGTCAGCAAGGAGTTGTCTCCATATTTTGGAGGTGATTTTGTGTTACGACAACGTAACTGATTTGCGTGTTTCCTTATTATTCTTCCACTCAGATCAACTTCATAGCTGACTTTGCCGATCCGTCTGGTGATGATGCCTTCCTTCCAGATGAATTGTGGCGTTTTCCATACCTGAGCATACACTGCTTCGCCGATTTCGAATTCTTTTGGAACAGCATAGCTTCTTCTGTTAAACTGCTCGATCACTTTCTCCCGATTTCGTTCAGGAGGTGGCGTGCACGAATCTCCATCGGTCATAGCAGACTCAACCGTGTGCGGAGTTTTCTTAGTAAAACATTTCTGTTCGAGTGCTGTTGTCCAAACAGTCGTTTGGAGTTGTCCGGTGTGCTCGGAGGACCACGTTTAGCGTCTCTTCCGAAGGCTTCTCCCCCCCCCCCCCTT